GGCCGTTAGCGGTCGCCCTAGGAGCCAATCAGGTCTCAAGGAGGCGGTGCAAAGGAGCGCGGTTCCCGGAAGCGACCGACGGAAGGGCGGGACCCAGGCGCGAGGGACGGGGCGTGGCCTGGGTTGTGCTGGGGCGAGGCCAGGTAGGCTGAGGGCGCTCCTGTGCGGTGCACCCGCTAGGAGTGTTCCCAGTTCCTTGTGACCTGCGTTGGTGAAACGCCGCCGCCGTTGCCTGGGCAGCGGTTAGGTATCCGGGTCTAAAGGCCTGGCTGGCCTTGGGCCGTGTGCAGGTCTGCGCCTACGTCTCCTGAGTGGGAGTAGCTTTTCTCGGATCTCGGCTGCGTGTCTAGCCTTTGGTGTGTGCTCCCTTGAAAGCCCTCCCTAGCCCTGGCTTTGCGGGAGGCGCAGTGAGGTTCCGGCCACCAGCCTGGGCCGAGTGACCCCTCAGCCCCGTCCGTGTAGCTGACTAAAAGAATGGCATTGTCTCTTACGCGTAACTACTTTACAAACGGGTGTTCCTTTTTACATCCTCCGTGAATTTGTGTAGTTCATGGCTTTCACAACCTACAAAAATTTTGGAGAAACTACAAACTTTCCAGTCCGGGGTATTGAATGCCAGGGCTTCGCACTGAACTACATCCTTAGAGTCTTACTAAATTGCTCAGCTGGGCTCAAACAGTGATCCTCCTGCCTCAGCCTCCCTGAATGCTGGGGAAACAGGCGTGCAGCCCCACACCCAGCTAAACTTTCCTCTTTATAAGCCATCAGACAGAAAATGAAGATAGGTTGTAATAGCTGATTATACGTTAATGCAGTCCACTTGATCCTTGTGTCAATTGTCTTGTTCATTTGGAAACGCGAGAGTCCTAGCTTCCCATCTCAGGAGGATCCTGAGGGTTGAGTGAAGCCTGCCTTCCACTAATGCACTTCCGGGTGAGTCTGCCACACCCCACAGGAATCGTGTGTGAGTGAAGATGTATTCTGTGGCCAGCTGCAAGAATTAGATTTCAATACAGCCTTCTCTCTTCGTACTTCAGAATGTAGTACTCTTACATAAATATCCTGAGGCGTTAGCTAGCCTTATAACTTGTTTACCTAACCTAACACATTAAAAGTTCAAAATCTGGGTGCCTCGGATGTGTGGATTTGAACTTCTCAAGAATGCATTAGAACTAAAGAAGACAACAACAAATAGGGGTCATCTGAAGTTTATTGGCCCCCAGGACAAAGTTGGAGATCACTGCTCAAGCGTAAGACTGCTACAGAGATGTTTGATGTGAAGACTTGGGCTGAATATGTTGTGGAATGGGCTGCAAAGGTCCCATCTGGTTTCCTTACAACAATTACTTTGGCTCTTACTCCACTGTTTCTAGCAAGTACGTCCTGTCCTGGAAATTGGCCAAGAAGATTGAAGCCTGGGAGAAGGAGCAAAAGAAGAAACAAAAACGCCAAGAAAATATTGTGAAAGCTAAACAACTGAAAAAAAAAAATTGAAGGGATGAGCAGTCTCTGCAAACAGAAAAAAAAAGTCATTTGGAGAATTAGGCAGCTTTGGAAGAACCCCATGAGATTTCTTTGGGCATGAAAGTTATTACTGTCCCTATAGAAGAATCATTCTGAAATGTGACATCAATACTGTAGTAACTTTTAGGCCTGGGCATAGATGTTTGTTGGTGACCATTGGCAGTTATTACAAATTAGTATTTGATTATACTGGTTGAGTATCACTGATGCCTAACCCAGAATACTTCAAAATCCAAAACTGTATGCACAGATGTGATGCCACAAGTGGAAAATTCCCCAGCTGACCTCTCACGGGTCTCAAAATTCAGATATACTAAAAATGTATAAAACTTCTTCCAGCCTATATAAAACAAGTTAATTTCCTCAAGATGTCTCATTATGTATATGCAAGTATTCAAAAAATCTGAAAACATCTAAAACATTTCTGGTTCCAGGCATTTCAGAGAAGGAACATTCAACCTGTACTTTCATTGACTTAGATATTTGCCATTTTGTACTATGTTCTGAAGTAAAAATATCCCATGGAAACAAATGACTTTATATATGAACTCTACTCAGATAGTAGTTTAAAACAGGGTCCTGTGTTTGACAAAGGATGTTAAGAATGTTAAAGTCAAACTTGCCCTCTTTGAGGTGAAAGTTTGCTTGGGCTTAAAAGATGTACAGTATATTAATCACATCTTTTATCATTATTGCTTATTTCTTGGAATCATTTCTGGCTTTTCAAAGTGAAATAATATTAACAAGTGCATCTATTCTGTATTTTTCTGATACTAGCCTTTGAGACAATGTAATTATCAAGATATTCTGCATTTTTTAAAATCTAGTTTTTAAAAGAATTGTCATTTTGATTATGTACAGTATCATGACTAGATATAATTTTTGTACCTAGAAACACTGCCACTTTCTTAGCGATGAGTTGTTGATTTAAAACTTGCAGTAAAAGGCTGGGGATTTAGCTCAGTGGTTTGGTGGCCTGCCTTGCAAGTGCAAGGACCCGAGTTTAATCCCTGGTACCAAAAAACTTGCAGTAAAAATGCTAAACACTGCAATACTTTGGAAGCAGTTTTTTCTTGTGCTAAAACTGTGAAATAGTTAAAATATCAAATAATTTGCTCAGTATATAGATAACACTTAATTTTATTCGATATGTTTTAATTTATGTGGTAATGATGTCCTGTACTTTTTGGTCAGTTTGAGGTGAAAATTAAAATTTCATTTTTTTGAAGGCGTCCTTAAAGAGTTAACATTTAACTCACACTTCATAAGGGGTAAAGGCCCCACATTTGGAAAAATCTGGTTGGGTATAGTAGTAATTGCACAACAGGATGAATTACATCAAAATAAGGATGTGCTACTGTTCAGTCCAGAACTAAAAGATCTTTCGGTTAAGTAGTATAACCAGAACTTTTTACTATTAAACATGGCCTTTCTAAATGCACGATCCAGTAATTTTATTTATTGCAGTATTGAATAGCTTAATGTTTTCACTTCTGATGAATTTTAAGTTACTCTGATTGTCCAACAGCTCTAATTTATTATTATTTTTTCTTTTTGTTGAGTTTATTGGTACAATCTAGGTATACAATACAGTTACATTCATCATTGGGATTCTGTACCTTTACATAATAGGTCTTGATTCTCATTTTTTCCTCTTGTCCCTGCCCTCCCTTCACCCCCTCCTCCCGTCCCCATTTACAAACACTTTATTTCCATTTTTTCAGTTTCTCATATTTTTTTCCTCTCCCTTATTAACCTTTCCCCTACCCTTCCCACTTTCCCTACACCTTTAGCCCTTTACTTCCTATTTCACATTATTAGTTATCTCCTTAGGATCCTGTGTACTATTATGGTTTTTCACACCAAAGAAACTATTCGGTATTTCAGTTAAAGAAATCTCTGTATGAACATTAAAAATAGGGAATCCTAAAATAAAACTAAAAGGGAAAGTAAAAGAGAAAAGGCAATGATGTAACATTAAAATAATCCTTAATTCTGGAGATGAAAATGGTCCCCGAACATATTTAAATTGCTTCTTGCTCTTATAGTCTTATCTTATTCTTTTTTTTCATTATTTAGAGAATACTTTATTAGTTTCTGTAATCAAACCCACGTAGATATGACCTTACATATTTAGTACAATGTGTTACCCCTGTATACATGGCAACAGCTCTAATTTAAAAATGCAACTAGGTATGAAATAAATTTGATACTTTTTTATTTAAAAAATATTCAAAATCTGTTTCTTTAAGCCAACATTGTCATGGGTCTGCCATCTAATGGTCATAAAATCTCAGTGGAGTCGCACCCAGAAGTTTCGGAGGTAAAATGTACAGTTTTATTCTTAACGCCAGCCGGTCAGTCTGGGACTTCTGCCCAAAGAGACCGACCCCGCTTTGGGGTGGAGCACGGCAGGGTATCTCTTGGGAGGGGGCAGGCTTGCAGGAGTTGAGCACTTTGCATTGGTTACATAGAGCACAAGTCATCTGGGCCCAGCAAATTCACTGGTTACCATATATTACAGACAGCAAGCTCACTGTGCAGAGACACATCCTGTTGCACTTGGCGGGAAGATAGAAGTAATAAAATAAAAAATTCTTGAGATTTCCTACAGTTACAATTTGCCTGTCCTGACTCACCCACACAACCAAAGAAAGCCGAGGGAAGGAAAGGGAGGAGAGAATTGACTGCTACAATTCTTTTAAGTCCTCTTAACAGATCAGCATTACTGAAAAAATAAAAATCATTCAGGAAAAACCAGCCAAGCTGCCAGGATGCTGAATGGAGCTGGGCAAGCAGGACAAGATGCTGGTGGCTTAGGGTGCTCCTGGACACACTGGACATGCAGGCTTGGTTGGTGGGGCCTTGGCAGCAGCTGGGAGACAACCACAGCCCCCCAGCCGGGAGGAGCCGTGGACACTGCTCTGGACGGCCCTGGACCCCCCTGAGGTGGCCTTGCCGACCTGGTTGGGCTGGCGCCTGGCAGTGCCAGTGCAGGGGAACTCAGGCCAGTGGGTGTGGGTTGTGTTGCCTGAGTGAGGGGTGACCTTTGCCCTCCCACTGGGGCTCAGGAAAACATTTTGAGTTGGGCGGCAAAAGGAGAAAAGGGCAAAGGTGTATTTTATACTGCTTTACTACAACAACAGTTTCTGTTTAGCAGAGGTGTCCTGAGTTGGTGAGGGGTGGCAGCAGCAGCAGATGGTGTCCGCCATGTGCTCACTGTGTCCCTGGCGCATGGTGCTATTGCTTCCTTTTGACAGCTGGGGAGACTGAGGCGTGGGAAGCCACGTAACCCATGGAAGGCTGAGACCCAGTGTCTGGCCAGCCGTGCTTTGGTCATAAGAGGCAGCGTCTGTCGCCCAAGTTTCCGCCTGTTCTCTAGTGGGAAACAACACCGGGAGCAATGTTAGGGGAGGATACAAGGGACCTTGAGGTGTGGGGTGATTCCAGGCTGTGTCTGGCAAGGGTATGAAAGTGTAATGGACACACTATGATTCCTGTTTTGACTGAGGGAACGGTATGTCAGGTGGGGTCCACTAACCACAAAGTGCCATCCGGGTGGCCAGCTGGTAACTCACCTGCAGTGTGGTTCTCCCTGCAGCTGGGCCATCCTCAGTACTCTGGCCCAGATGCTGTACCCTGAGAGGACGGGGTGAGGTCCACACCCCGTCCTCCAGCCCATGCCTCTCTGGGAGATCTGAAGAGTTGTAAGCCTTCTTTACTCAAGATTCCAGTGATGAAGCCAAACCACAGACCTGGAGACCTGCAGGGGGCTGGAACAGTTACTTCTGTGCACACCTGGTGTGTGTGTGTGTGTGTGTGTGTGTGTGTGTGTGTGTGTGGCAGGGGTTGAAACCCACAGGGACTCTGCCACTGGGCCATGTTCCCAGCCCTGTCTTATTTTCTATTTTGAGATAAGGTTTTGCTAAGTCTTACCTCAGCTTCCCAAAGCTCTGGGATTAGAGGCCTGTGGGCCAGCTCACCTCTATTACTAATGAACTGCCCTGCCTGTGCAGCATTCTCTCGGCCTGGGCAGGGCCTGGCTGTGGAGGGGCCCAGAGGCCTTCCCATCTTCCTCTTGTGCAGCCCTTCTCTGCCACCCTCATGGTGAGCACAAGAGATTGTGGGACACACTTTTCCTGGCACTGGAGCCCTTTCGTGGTGTCTGGGTGAAAGCATCCAGGCGGCACAAGGATGGATGAAAATGGGGGGTGACCCTGAGCCTTGGAGGGAAGATGGAAAGGTAGCGGGAGGTGGTGTGAGGTGGGAGGAGGCACCAGCTACGTGGGCAGAGGGAGGTCATTGCAGGAGGGGACAGCCAGCCCTGACCTGTGTGGCAGGACTAAGACTCACAGTCTCTTCCTGCAGATGCAGATTGGACACTGACAATGTGGGGACACAGTGGCATCCAGGTCGGAGGGAGGTCTTGGAGGAGGAGGTGGCAGAAAGGGACTGAGTGGGTAGAGGGCAGAGTCCCAAGGTCCCCATGCCTGGGCTGAGGGCTTCAGCTCCTGGGAGGAAGGCGGAGCAGGGCCAGATGTGGTTGTGCGGTATGTGAACAAAGGCACATTGTAAGCCTTTGGACTCCTACAAACATGGGACCTTTGCCCATCAGTTGGTCAGAGCACTCCCTTCCTTAAAAAATAGTATCTACATTGAAAAGTTTTGATTCTTTTAGTAACAAAACAAAACAAACCTCATGTCAGAGATACAATTTAGACAAGACCCAAGACCTGCTCACCTCCTGAACACAGTTCCTGTCACAGAATGAGAGTAAAGCCTTGGTGTGTGCTTAGTAACAGCTCTCAGTGGTTGTATCACCAAGTGCCTCGCAGACCTGGGGTCTTCACAATGCAGTTCATCAAGGGGAATACACAGTGTGTCCTGTACAGTTTTAGCCTGTGGGCCAAAGCACCATGGAACTGAGATAAGGACAAATGTAGAGGATGGCGGATTCTTTCTCCTAACAGAAAGCAAAAGCAAAATGATTCATATAAAGAAACCCAGACCAATGGCAGATCTTTCTCAGCCAAGGCAAGGAAACTTAAGTTCGGCCGAGCAAATATCTACCCTAAAGATTGGTTGTAGAAAACCTTGCTGTAGTTGCCCTAAGCCAGTGTGAAGAACTATTCTCTATAAAGGGCAACGAGTCATTTTTTATTTTACAGAAGATATTTGCCTTCTCTATGGCCTTTGTTCCAGTGAGTGAGATGGGCTAGGTGAATGTGTTAGGACCTGATCTGCTGGATGAGTGCTAGCAGTGGTGGAAGAGAAGAAAGCACTCATCCAGGGACCCAGTACCCTTGAGGGAACATACGTGAAGAGTGACACCAGGAAGGCAGCGTCCTGAGCCTGGCCCTGGGGTTGGACTCGGCCTCTAGTGCCGTGAGAAATGAATTTTGCTGCTTAAGACCCCAGATTACAGTGTTGTTAGGACAGCCCAAGGAACACCTTGGGTGTGATTATTGTGGGGTGTGTGTGCACATCTGAGTTTTCTGCACCTTTTGTGGGAATTTGTTGACCATTTCATCTTTCCCTCTCATGCTCAATGTTTGAGTTGTCTAAAGCATCTGTTGCAAATATTTTTTTTCCAGTTTTTAATCTATTTGTTGCTAGTCAAAAATTTTAAAGCACTATCAAATTTGTCACTTTCATATTTTTTTCTTGCATTTGAATTTTGAGCCACAGATTTTTTTCTGTATCTAGTTGTAGAGAAAAATCATTCACGGCTTATTCTAAAACTTATATGGTTTCTATCATAGTTTATATCTAGATGTCTCCCAAAGCCTCATGGGCTCACAGGTGGGTGAGGTGACTAGATTAGGGGTGTGATATTCACTGGGGGATGAGTCCACTAAAGAATTTATAGTTGGGTGTGAGATTGGGAGTTGGAGCCTGGGGAGGAGGTGGCCAGGGGGCATGGCCTGGAAGGGTCCTCTCCCTCCTCCCTCCATTGCTCTGTTTCCTGCCCACCTGCCATGAGCTGTTTCTCCTCTGCCAAGCCCCTGTGCCACGCTGCCCTGCCTTGGAGCCAGCGGACTATGGACGGAAACATCTAGATTGTGAGCTAAATAAACCTCTCCACCTTAGAGTTGTGGGTGTCTGCTATTTTGTCCCTGCAAAAAAGAAAGTAACTAAGACAGTTTCATATTTGCCATGTTTTTCATATTTGCCATTTATGTCCTTGGTCCTTTGGGATTCTCTCTTGATTATGGTATGTTAGTGAATCTAATTTTATCTTTCTCCAAATGGCTAACTGGTTGTCATCCCAATATGTATTAAAATATTCATCTTTTCTCTAGTGATTTGAGAAACCACTTTGATCATATAATAGATTTCCCTATAAATAAAGATCTGTTTCTGGAAGTTCCACTTTTATTTTATAGGTCTATTGTCTGTTCACGCTGTTCAAGAGTGGATAAAAACCAGATTTAAAGTAACATCTTAGTAACCGGCTAGTCTCTCTTTGTAAATTTTTATTTTTCCTTTTTTGGGAGCTATTACTGAACACTTATTTCTTCATGTAAACTCTAATATCAATTTGTCTATTAAAAAAACTGTTGACACTTTCATTGGTGTTGTGTTAAAAACATAAATCAACTTAGAGAAAACTGATGTTGATAATGCTGAAGAATGTCTTTCCATAGTTTTCTTTTGTATCTTTCATGATGTTTTAAACTTTTTCTCATGGGAGGTTTGCATATTTCATGATAATTTCATTCTGAAACATTTTATCTTCATGGTTACTATTGTATTTTCTATGATTAATGCAAGAATATATCCATAAAGCCTACATTATTTTATGCTACTTAGATCTGTATTTATTGTCCTTACTTTTTTCAGCTACTGAGTCTACTTTATACTGAAAGTGGTGAACTGAAGTCTTCTATTATTAGTGTTTCTATCAACATTTCTTTGCATGTCCTACAGTTTTTAAGTTTGCTGCCCACTAGTACTCCATTCTGTATAAATACATTTTCTTCATTCATTCATCTGGTGATGCGCATATATGCTGTTTCCAAGATCTAGCTATTATGCTAGATCTGTAAACACATGTGCTGCTGTAAACACATGTATGTATGTATCCCTGTAACATGAGACTTTAAATCTTTTGGGACAATACATAGATGGGGAAAGCCGAATTAAATGGAATTTGTATTTTTAGTTCTGTGAGGAATCTCCACACTGATTTCTATGGTGGTTGTACTAGTTTGCATTCCCATTAACAATGTAGAAGAGTTCCTTTTCTTCATGTCCTTGCCAGCAGTTGGTATTTGATTTCTTGATGGTGTCCATTCTTTCTGGGGTATGATGGTATCTAAATGTAATTTTGTCCTTTTTGTTTCTTCTTTGTAAAAGGGAATCATTTTTTGTTGTTGTTATGACTTGTACTGAGTAACATTTTGGCCATCAAGTTACACAGCATATTAACCACTGTTGTTCTCTATTTTGTTATGAGAAAAAACAAACAAATGTTTTTTGCTGAATTATTTGTTGAATAGAATTCATAACCATTATATATTCACCATGAACTGTGGCATTAAAACATGTTTGTTTCATTTAGTGTATTTTAAAAATTCTTTTTCATTCAGGGCTACAACCTGTTATGGTTTAGATCTACATTGCCCCCTGAAGCCTGTGTTTGAAAGTGACTGGATCATGGGGCTCCTAGATGATTTGCTCGTAGGTGGGGAATGGTTACAAGTGGTCACTGGGGCATGGCCGGAAGGGTTCCCCTCCCTCCTGGCTCCTCTCTTCCCACTCACAGATTGCAGTCTGTAGAGCATCTCTCCTCTCCCAGACCCTTCTACCAAGCCCTTCCTGTCTTGGAGCCAGGTATGGGCTAAAAATCTGAGCCAAGATAAACCTCCCCTCAAGTTGCAGATGACGGGTACTGTGTCCCACCTAGGAGGAAAGTGACTATGACATGACTTTGCTTTCTTTTGGTTCCTATTTGTTTAGTACATGGACTTTTGACTGTCTCTTCAATTTTAGCTTTTCATTTAGGTGTCTTGTTTTCAGAATCTTGCTCTGTAAGCAAAGCTGATAATCTTTTCCTTTTAATGAATAATTTAAAAGCATTCATATTTACTAATATGAAATATTTCACCTCAGTTTATATTAAAATTATGGACTGAGAATGTATTTGGAATGCTTTTTTCTGTTTTTGTTTTTCTCATTTTTAGTTTTCTTTTTTGTGTCTAGGAATGCTTGTAGTTTTGCCTGTTTATCTTTAACTTACACCTTAATACCCTTAGTTCCTGTTTCTTATTTAACCTTTTTATTAATTTTATCTGTTCACCCATATGCCTTGCTTATATCATCAATGAATTTATTTTCCTCTTGCTCCTTTCCCACTTCTAGGTATCACTTCTACTTTATTAGAACCTACTCTACCCGTCTGTTTCTATGGAAAGTTTGCTTTTCAATATCCCAGGGCACCCTACTTCTCCCTCCCATCCCTTCTTCCCTCAAAGGAAGAAAAAGTGCACTGAGAAAGCATGAGGCACTCGACCTGAACTTCTCCATCTTCCTGCTGTGACACCCACCAGCACGACTGGGCTCATAGTGTCTACTGTTTTGCTCCCTATCCTTGTTTTGTCAACTGGAAATCCCTGCACTAGTGCTGGGCTCTGGTACCCTTTGGCTTCTTCCCTAGTGTTCTCTTCTTTCCATTGTCCCTTTCCCTTGTGCCTCACCAAGGTCTACACTTGCACCTGCACAAGCTGCTCTGGCAACTCTTACCCCTACCTCTTCTCCTTGGCCCCTGCCTCCATAACCACACCCCTTCTCTTTGTGGTTTTCTCTAAAGAGAGAGCCACTCTCCCACTTCTATTCCCTCAACAAGCTACTTAAGTTTGATTTGGCCTCCTCAGTACAGCACTTATTATAGTTTGTATCTTAAATATCTCCAAAGACACGTGCCAAAGGCTCGGCTGCTTCACCGTGGTGCTACCCGCAGAAAGTAGCACTTCTAGGAGGTGGAAGGAAGTCAAGTCCTAGGGCCATTGCCTCCTTCTCAGCCCCAGGTGAGCAGCTGTGCTCCACTTGGGCAGTCTGCCATGAAGCTCCGCCTTGCTGCAGACCCAAAGAGACAAGCCAAATAACCATGGACTGAAGTCTCTGAAACCAAGAGCCAAAAGAAACCTTTCCTTCTCAGGAGTTCTTTATCTCAGATATTTTGTCATAGCAACGGAAAGGTGATTCAGACAACATTGAAAGTTCTCTTGCCAAGGTCACCAGGAACTCCCATGTGACCACATCCAGTGGATTTTGACATCTGATAATAGCGACACCTTGCTTTCCTGGGTCCTACACTCCACGCTGGCCTGATTGCCTCCTCTTCTAACTCCTCCCACATCACATTAGAGTCAGGGCTTCATCCTGGATGTTTCTTCTTGTTTACCTGCCCCTTCTGCAGGTGGTGCCATCCAGCTCTGTGACTTTAAATGCTAGGCTTCCGCATTCACACCCTCATCACAGAGCCTACTCCTGAGCTCCACCTTTGGCCAGTGGCTATTTATGTCTCTGCAGGGGTCTCTGTTCATCAGGTGAATCTTAATAGCCCAAAGTAGGGCTCTGAGTTCTTCTTCCAAGTGTTCTCCTCCCCCATAGTAAATGTGCCGATGTAGTAACTGCAGCCAACTCTCAGAGGTGATCCTGCACTTCTCCTTCCCTCTGCCCATACTCGGCAGTTATGAATACGCCCAGGCTGTGCCTTGCTGTGGTAAGGGGTTGCAGTCCCTCACATGGTCCCACGCTGTGCCCGCACTCTGCTCCCTGCCCCACTGCCAGAGATGTGGGGTATTTTGATGGGTTGGGGACTCCCTTGGTTTTGCGGAACAATCCCTAGAACTGCGTCTGGACAGAGCTTTTCCTAACCCTTCTTTGCGGGTGTGCACAGGGGCTGCCTCCTTCTGCCTCATTATTTCTTCACAGAGTTTCCCCAACAACTCTCGCCTGCGTTCTGATCCTCTTGACTGCTCCAGGTCCTGAGCGACCCCATCCAGTCTCTCCATCAAGAAATCAAGTGTTATTTGTTTCCAGCTCCTAAACCTTTTCCTGCATTTCCCGCCCACTTCTCTGTGTTGCCACCACCACCCAGGCTGTGTCCTTCTCCCTAGGCAATGACAACCGTTGGCTGCTTCATCGTAGGCCTCTCCAGTCCCTTCTCCCTGCAGCAGGCAGTGATTTTAAAAAGTAAGCCATTCTTGCCATGTTCTGGCTTGTGCTTACAGCTACCTTAAAATGAACCTCTGCTGGGCCTCTGCAGACTTCAGAGCTCACACCACCTATCCTGGACCAGGTCTCCACCGTGTCCCCATTCTCGCACTGTCTGCAGAGGACCCAGTCCTGTTATACCACAGGCCCTCCCCGAACTCTCCCTTTTCCCTAGCGTCCACGTCCCTGTCCTTGGAGCGGGCCGCTGTCGCTCAGCTCTAAGTCAATGTCCCTTGCAGGGAGTGTGGGACCCTAACTGCTATGTAACCCCTAGTTAGCCAGCATATAGCAACACACATTTCTTTCTGCCCAGCTCCAAGATAAGATTAAAAGAGTGTATGGAAGCCTGGTAAGGGCAAACAAGATGGCGATTCAAGGCCTCGTTAGAACAGAACAGCCTGAGGTCTGGAGAGGAGAGACCAGGTGCGCCATACAGCTGACTCCTTTAGACAGACGGCAGAAAACCGGGCCCCTGACCCCTTCCCCACCTGCTGTGCTTGCCGTCCTCTTCTCTTGCCTTTAAAAGACTGTGCTAACCCCTGTGCTGGGCCTCTCTGAGCTGCTCAGTTCTGAGAGTGCAGTCTGGCCAGACTAATAAAGGTCTATTTACCAATGAGCCTGGTGTGTTCCTTCCTGGGTGAGTCTTGCTAAGCTATATAGGTCCCAGCATCCTGGAGGCCCTTCGGGCTGTTCTAGGCTCCCGGAAGTAAGGCCCTGGGTCTTGCATCCGGAGCCATCGTTGGGCTACAGGACTCAGCACCGTGAAGGCCCTTTCGGTTGTTCACGCTCCTCGGAGTGGAAGTGAGACTTTAGGTCTTACAGGAGGACTCACCGCAGCCTGACATCCTGACCCTCCTCGGCTTGGTGTCCGTTTCTCCCACTTGAAGAAAGGAGGAAGGCAGGTGGTGGCCCCAGGGTGCCATCTGGTTTTCCACAGGCCAGAGCGAACCTAGCACGCGCGGAGACCGGAAGTCCCGACCAAGCTCAGTGCGCACGCGCACTCCCTCGCCTCACCGGCCCGCCACCCGCGGTCCCCGACTCCGTGGTCCTCACAGGCCACAGGTCATGAAGCCGCCCTCGTGCCCTCGCCTTCCGCGACTTCTGGGCGGGCGCCGTGTCACGGACTGCGCGAAACCGAGTAGTTCTGCAAAGGACTCGGCACGGTGTCAGGTGCACACGAGTGTCCGGGCCTTGCTCCCAGCTCAGCCTTCCTTGCTGTAAAATCGCTCGCAGGTTGCCACAGGGACGGGAGC